CTCAACACCAACTATCTCACTGTTTCATGTATTCTTTCTCTTTGACAGTTTGGGTTTACCAGATCAGAGGACCTCACTTTTTTTTGTTTGTTTTTTTGTTTTTTTTTTTTTCTTCTTTTTAGGGCTATCTAGTGCCCTGGACAGCTTTGCTCAGAGCTAGCCCAGATAACAATATCACTATTTCTCTCTTCCTACACAGTCCACTAGACTTACAGATTTACTGGGATTCCATTTGGCTGGAAGCTCATTATGCAGTGTTTCCTGTAGCTCTCATATAGGACACATTCCAGGCAACAGATAAAAACATCTGTACTGCTCTTGTTATTGCTGTAAAAAAAAGAAAAGGGAAAACTACAAGAAACCTCAAGAATTCAGCATCAAGTTAGAGAAAATAAATTAAGTTCTGGAAGCACCAAATCAATAAAAGAAGCTTCCCAAGTACAGCACAGAAGAAAAAAAATAAAGTGCAGAGCTCCAAAGACCAATAGGTAATGAAGGAACACTTGCATTTTGATCAGGGCAGACCAAAGAAACACTTAGTGCTTTTCAAGACAGAAACTCTCTCAGACTTTATTCCGTTCTCCTGGCATGCAGAGAATGTTGGTAGAAAGCCACCCAAAGTGTCCCATCCTCAAAATTTGCAAAAGGCTTTCAATCAGATCTAGATACTGCAGCCATCTCTGCTTGAATGTTAAAAAGTAGCAAGAGAGAATTCTCCTGTCCATTTCATATTCAAATTTATATCTAACAACTTATTTTCCATTCTTAGTTATCTCCTAAATTTGTTATATTGCTTCAAATCCTATTTTCACCCTTTTTACACCTTCTAATTTGTTAATTCCTAGACCTGCAAATCCCCTTCTCCAGTCAATGTCTTCTCAGAAATCACTTGTCCTTTAAACATACCTCACCCTTCCTCCTATAAGCAGCTGTGCTGTATGTCATCATCTAGGCATGATTTAGACTGGAGGCTCTACAGTGCAAAGAACAGGTCTTATTTATGTTTGTGAATCCTTGTGTAACTATGCTGCTGTATAAATGTTTAATAGGAAATAATGCATTTGCTGGAACAAGCTGTGCACTAATACTCAGTGAGAATGGATATAATCCTTGCTCACTGTCAGAAGCTTCTGGAATTAAAAAAATAATGCAGTTGTTTCGTGACACTGCAGTTTCAGTTGAAGTGGTCTAATGAAACATTGTAGCACTGGAAATGGCCTTATCTACTCTCCATTCTTGAATTGTGATAGAGTTTGGGAGCTCAGCACTATGGATGTGGGGCTGCACTCAGCTACAACCACTGCACCTTACCTCCTTTCTGTTATGTACCTCCAGACCCCCACGTTAACAAAATTTAAAACAAATATTTCAAACCTCAGCTTTCTCTTTAATGTTGGCTGAAAAGTTTAGAATGGTCCTGTCTGTTTTTCACACCACTCTTGGCATGATTTTTCTGTGGGTTTGAGGGTATCCTGTCCTGTATAGAATTAACTGTGAAATAGAAACCCCAGCAGCAGATTGGATGCATAGTTTTTATTTCAGGGACCAAATAGGAGCTGACTGGTTCATCACTGACACCACACAAGCAGTGAATGCTCAAGCAAACAGCGAATGTATGATGTCTTGGCCTCAGGGCCAATGAATAAAATATGGTGGTGATGCTAATGAAGAAAATCTAACAGGGCAGCAAGAGTGTCAGACCTTCATGTCATCTAGCCTTAGGTTAATGCTCATGGAGACAAACAAACCACATCACAAATTTCCACAACCTGTACAAACAGAAATCTTTGGGCTTTGTTCTCTCTATATCAGATTGCTCCTAATGGTGGAGCTGGCGATGACAAGTCTTATCCCATAATCTCAACAATTTGTGCACTGTTGACATGAAAGCCAGGGATAGAAAGAATCACTCGTGGCATGTTCATAGGGTCTCTGAAACACGGAGTGCTGGATGGAGTCCATCCAGCCATCTACCTCCAACACCGCATCCTAGGGTCAGGATCTCTTTCCTATTAATTTTAATACAGTTTCACTAACAGCACTCGATATTTTATCCTTGAAAGAGATTTGACTAAGTGATATATTAAGAAGGTTTTCACAATTGTCAGTGTGCTTTAGGAAAGGAAAGAAAAGGAGCTATATCTGATGGAAGCAAATCCAAAATAAAGCAAAAGACAACTCCATTAGGAAAAATTCCTGTAACAGTGAAATCTATTGGACTTTATACAGTTTCTTCGATGGCATGAAAAATACTCCACTCCTTCAGTCACTTAGAAGTAGATTTGACCAGCAGTACAAAAATATATTTCAGGGAACACAGCTATATCAGCATGGCAGTAAAACAGATGAGCTAATAACTCTTTTCCCTCATTTTCAGGATCATACATGACAAGAATTCAGCATTAGTCAAAACTTATTTACCTACAAACAACAGAATTTCCAGAGTTCATATTTGGTGGAAATTAGTATCTCTCTGGGAAGAAAGGTGTGCATCATTTATCAAGTGAGAAGTATTACAGTTCTGAAGGGGGTCAGGGAGGGGCAAAGCTATTTAGTGCAAATGAGTTAAGGATAAAGGTATTCAGAAAGATCAGAACAGAAACACTTTAGAAAATCTGCCCCCATATGACTCGAAGCTGAACCCTTAAGAGAAATTCCCACTTACCTGCAAGTGTTCAGGTCTTGAGGAAAAAAAAAAAAAACAAACTAAAACCTGACTGCAGCTCTCTACCTATTGTAACTGGTGTCAGGAACACCTCCCCAGAAGGTATTTTCATTAACTTTTCAACTCATCAAATATCAGAGTTCACATGTGAGAGGATTTTCACAGAAAAGCTATGTTCCACATGGCTAAACTACTTAGACTCAAACTAAAACGGGGAGGGGATCTTTAAACAGGTTAAGTTAAAGCGACATTTTTTTTTCTACTTGATCAGAGACAAAAAAAAAAAAAAAAAGTTAAACCTTTTCGTGAAGTCCTCATTGTTTGAGCAACATTATGTTCAGATTACAGTAACTGTTTTATCATCAGCTGGACAAGTAGTTAAGTAGTACAATGCCTTTGTGCTTAACACAAATTAATTTGAATCAAAGAGAAGATGGAGATCCGTTCACTGATTTATTTTGCCTCTAAAGAACCCAGTTTCAAGTACTCAAACAAATAATCAAAAGAATAGGTAACTGAGCAACTAATCTTACATGACCAATTTAGAACTCACAGCTTGTAGGAACTGCAAACCTGTTGCTGAGAGGAATCCAGACCTAATTCACAAAAATATATTTCTGTAGAAACCATAAAACTTCTTTCATAGCCATTTTGCTTTGTCTCTAGTTCCTTTCAGATGTAACAACCTCTGACTCAGATATAATTAGAAGAATTTGCATTAATTGTAGTACTAAACATATTTATGATACCTTGTATATTCACGGAAGACACACATCTTCAAAAGGTTTCAAGGATGAACTGCTAAGCCTCAGGGACTAAAAAGCCCTTTAAGACTGGGGTCAAGCTAGGCATTTAGATTCAAAAATAATAAATAAATCCATTTGCAGACAAAGGCCTATTGTATACCACTCTTCCAGGAAAACCCATGGGTGGCTGAGAATTATTTGGGAAAAGTTTGCATAAATTGATTCTGAATCATTCACAATGTTTTCTTCCACACTGAAAAGAGGGGTCTATGGAAGGAAGAAAGCATTGGTGAGTTCACACAGGGTCAGGGAATATCTGTCTTTCCAAATGCAGAACTAGAAAATGTTTATGGTTCGTGGAACACTGAAAGAGAGAACCATCACCTTCCCTGCCCATGACTCATTGAGAACCTGAGGTACCATCAGCTCCAGCTATGAGAGTGGGAGTACATTTAGAAGGTATGGCAGGGAGTGCAAATTGCAGCAGTCAAAGCTTGTGTGGTGTGATAGTTCAAAGGAACCACTTCCCACCCTCTGCTCAAAAGGAAGAAAAAACAAACAAAAAATAACCCAAAACCAAAAAATGAGTCCCACTGTTCCTCATCACACGTTGCTTTCTCAGCTACCAGGCAGACACCACCAAGCTAACATGTAGAGTTCATTAGAAAGCACAGACTTTTACTTAGGAGTTTTGCAGAGTCCTATAAAATTCTATAGAAATTAATCACTAGGTTACATAGTTCTTTGCATTAGTTCAGAAAAAACATAGAAATATCATGCTATATTATGTGCTTTTACAGTAACACTTATAGAAAAACATTATTCTTTATTCTTAACTCTGCAATCATATGTTAACAATTATTGCCACAAAAGCTATTTCAGTTCTTCCAAGTTATACAACTAGGCAGCAGGGACAGCTTTGAACTGTTGAACATCAGGTTCTTATTTACTATGTTATCCTATTTTTAGGTCAAAATTTTACACATCTGCTGAAAGCACTTTCTCCACATCAGGCAATTCTCCTGATAAAACTGCTTCAGGTATCAAGCTGCTGAGGAGAAGCAGTACAACCTTGATTCCCTGCTTAATTAGAAAACAAGACCTTCTTACAGAGAGCTAGGAAGACTCACAGACTTGGCAAGGGAAGGACACAGTGCATCCATTATGCCGTGTTATTTGTCCAGGAGTGATACATGAGTTAGGGTATAACCTTCGGGAATCATATTAACAGACACTGACCATGATTTTGAGGTCAGTGTAGAGCTGCTATTAAATAGCTCTGTTCGTGTTCTGGTGCCTCTGAAACCAAGTGTTTATTCACTACCAGGTGGCCCAATCTTGAACAGCACTTGCAACAGTCAGTACAAGCAGGATGGCCACTGTTGTATTCATCAACCTGAACCCTCAGCTTAGTTCTGATTCAGTGCAACTTTCCGGGGAACACCTTTACATTGTGTTTAAAATACTGCGTTCAAAAATCAAGGAAGCAGTCATCTTCTGCCAATAGCTTTCAAACTCACTTTTCTGAAAGTTTCCATACTGCATTTGAGATGAACACTGGGGAGAGTAACAGTGCATAAAGTACATACCTTTGGCAGAGCTTTGAGAAAGAGAAGCCACAGCTCTACCGGTACGTTCTGGCCTCCTCCTGGAAAAGAAAAAAGCAGTAATTGTTACAGAATACAATAACCTAATGCAGCTGTTAGAAAAATGAACTATAAAGTGTTCACTCAGTCTAAAATAAAGGAACCACCATCCTGGGGTCTGCTAGAAAATTTGCAATTTGTAGCCCATCTACTTCAACTAGTATTGTTATATTTTAAAGTTAAGAGTCACCATTTGTACATGAATCAGTTTTTATGAGGCAAGAGCCTCCATGCCTATATGAAACCCAAGGCAACATCATCCATGTTTATTATTCTGCAAAGGGAAACAGTGCCAAACTTCCTGCAACTCCCACTTTAGCTGCTGAAATCCAGAGAACTGAATGTGCTGCTGTTAGCATTTGGAGACAGGAATATGTTTTGATCTAATACATCAGACACAGGCTCTCTTGGTGACAACGAAGTACTAGATTCCACAGTATGTTAAAATAGAGCCAAATATGAAAACATTGTATGCAACTCATACAGAGTAACTTCTGCTCATCATCTTTAAAATTGTTCAAGAGTGTTCTAAACATTCTAAAAATACCATGGAAGTTGGTAAATAGTTAAATTCTCGTAGCTGGTCACATAAATGACTGCTTGATCAATGTATACAAATGTTCTAACACTACTCTTACTATATTTAATACAGAGTTATGTGTGAGTCAGGACTAGGACAAAAATTCTCATGTACAGAGAAATCTGTTTTACAACTTTGGCCATCACTATTTAGTCAGGTGTCTTCCTATTGCCAAGGACACAGCCTATGGATACCTATATGTAGGGTTACAGTGGGTGTGCCACAGAGACAGTTCCCTCCTATGGACACTACTCTCCTGCTTCTTCACCTTGCAGTCTCTCAGGGCGGTGTCTCCTCCTGACTGAAGAGGTTGGCCTTTTCCTGCTCTTCCTGCAGGTCTTCCTAAGAATCAACAGGGAGCAGAACTGCCCAGACAGACTGACATGCAAAAGCTATTTAGAGTATTTCAACAAGATCTAAGCCCTGTAGAAGATCTGGTTTCAGGATCTCTGCTCAAGGTTAAGTCTAAGTTTTTCTCACCTCATTAAGGCTGTATAATAGGAACTCACCTGACAAACTCCCCACCTGCAACAGGCACTTCTCTATGTTTTCAAGAGAAGGTGATAGCAGCTGGGAAATTAATTCTCTGCTGCTGCCACTAAGAACAAATGATTAGAAATATCAGCAAGTAGCAGAATTCAACTCTGTACTCTCCAAGCCCAGTGTGAATGATACAAGCAGGGCCCTTCATCCAAACTGTCTTTCATCCCATGCTACAGAACCTCAGGACAGGTACAGCTCAGTTTTGCATCATCATTGTATTTGGATCCTGATAAGGGAACATTTACACCTTTTGTATACTCCCAGTGAAAAGGTGTCTGTTCTCAATACAGAAGGCACAGCTTTTTGAAACTGAAAAGTTTCTCCCTGGTTCCTTGTTTGCTTCTCAAACGGTTAGATCAGTAAGTACCTATGGATGGGCAAAAGACATCAGCTTCTCCCCAGTGAGAAGGACTCTATAGGATAAAAATTATTCATTCAGCTGGATGTATCATGTCCAAATCTCCCTTTAGTATCCTGGAAGTTTATGCGTGACTCGGGACAGCTGTAGTCCTGAAGCAGGATTGAAACAAACATCTCTCCAACACACCTTCTGTCACCTGGAAGGGTTCCTGCCTACACTGGCAGGCAATGCCTCACATCAAATAGTCCATCATCCTGTGCAGTAGAAGCCCTTCTGGGGAGCTGGTTTACACCAGATGCACAGCATATCACAGCTTTTCTATCTTACTGTTCCTTTCTCAGTCACAAGATTTATGCATGTGTTGATACTTTCTTGTGGGCACTCTAGTCAGTGAGGAATTTTTCCCTCCCCACAATGTTGCTCTGAGAGTAAGTAAAATTCACATCAACTTCCCTACCTTTTCCTCCCTCTCGGAAAGCAACCCACCTCACCAGCTACTTGCATCCAGAAGGACTAGGGCTCTATGAACACCTCATCCCTCTTTACCCCATCTCCTTAGGTTCTGAGCCTCATTTCCTCAAGAGTCAACAGATCAAGCCCACCACACCCGACAGTGAAAGGCATAACCATGCCATAGCACTGTTGAGTATACCAATCAGTTATCATGTAATACCTCTGATACTCTAAAGCCTCTTTCACCAGCAGAGACATTTTGCCTGCACACCTAGCCCAGCTGTCTGTCTTCCTGTGGCATTCAGCTCTTAATTTCTCACTTACTGTCTCTAAAGCAGACAGAGTAACACTATTCTACCCAATTTGGGTGCTATGATGTGCTGACATCCCTATAGAGGAACTCTAATAAAGAAAAAAGAGAGGCACACTACCAATGGCACAGCTGTATCTTCCCTTTCTATCCTATACTTACTCTGGATCAAATCCCCTATCCAACACCTATCTCATGCTCTAATGCTGGTGATGTTACAGAAAACACAGAGGTTATTTTTTTTTTTTTCCCACTGTATTAATTTATGAGGAGCAAACACTGACTACTGGTTGCCTGTAATGTGTCAAACTTGAATTGTTTACCTGCACAAAAGCTTTCTGACTCAAACTGTGCCCTATCCTCAGCCACACTGCACAAATAAATGCCTCTGAAAACAAAAACAAAACAAAACAAAAAAGTCAGATCTCTTTTTTTTTAAAAAAAAAAAAAAAAACATTTGTTATGTTTTTGGCTAGAATGTAGAGTGAAAGGCTGAGAACAGTAAGGGGGATACATATACCCTGATTCCAGCAACATCGCTCAAGGAAAATCATGGAGTTTTGAACATCACAGGAGAGCAAACTGCCTAAGTATACTGGAGCAAACATCATTGTGAATAGCAGTAGTAGTACGTGTTGCCATTAGATAAGTAACTCTGACACGAACCGTTCTTATCTACTGTTAATTCAGAGTGCCAAAGGACTGTTGTTTCCATTGGTTTGCAATGGAGAAATACTTTGGGAGTCCAATTAAGTTCAGTCACTAACACATGATTCCTACACATATCCCTGAGGATCAGACGCACGTTGCAACTACATTCCTAAAAGCTAGAAAGGCAGTAACAGCAAAATGAAATTCTGCTTTTAAACTGCTGATTTACAATTTGAAGAAACAGTATCCAGGATGCTACCCGCTCCTAGCAAAATGGTCTGGTGAGGGCAAAATATGCACAGATTTCCTTTATGACAAGCACAATGGCCTAACTTTTGGTTAGGTGGCAGCCATGCAGCTTCCAAACAGCTTGAGCAAGATGAGAGTACAATATCTGAATTATTAACTTCTAATTTAAGTAGTATGCAAAATGTACAGAACTTATGTTCTGACTGAGGCACTATTTTAGGGCTCAAGTAAATTTTCTAAATTACTTACAAGTGTGAAATGTCTGGATATTCAGGTAGGAGCAGCAAAAGTACATATCCTAGATACCATCAATAAAGATGCTGTGATACTGGAAGTTTCTGAAGGTAGGAGGAGATATTCTGGGCAACCTTCCCTGCATCTTGTGCAGAAATCTCATTCATAACTATCCTATTTCATTACCTCCTCCCAAACAACCCTTTTCAGTACTACTTAATTACTGTTCACCATGAACTTTTTCACTCCCAGCCAATACTTCTGTTAAGCAGAAACGAGTTAGAAGACCTGGCAGCCAGAACATACCTGACAAATCTGGACAGTCCCCTGGATGCAAAACCCAGGAGGAAGCTTAAACAGAGATCTTTTGTACCCTAATATGAGCTATTCTATGACAGAAAGGGTAAAAACATTTCCCTGTTCTTTGATTTTGATGGAGTGAATATTGTCCTGAATTTACTGCACTGAGTGCCAACTACTGAACACCAGCCCCTCTCTAACCACATATCTTCAGGTGAATGACATGTCTTCCTATCTCTTATCCTTTTCTTCCCCAGAGCACACAGCTCAGCAGTACAGAGGCAGGACTTCAGCAGTGCCCAGCCTTAAAGGGTGCCAAAGGCAATGTTGGGGTCAGGCAGTCTGGTGAGATGCAGAGATTGGTGTCAGGCTGTTCAAAACTTCACTCTTTGTTGTAGCTGCATGCCGGGCCTTCTGATTGAGAAGGATCATTCAACCGTAGCATTATTATTAAACAGCGCACTCCTGAATATCTCAGGCAAAGTACTAAGACTCATGGGAACACAGGTTCTTCCCAAATTAGCTCCTGCCTTGTGAAACAGGTCCAGTGGGCTCCAGAGAACTTAGTACCGTCCTGTACTATTTTGAGCACTGTGAAGTCATTTGAAACTTAAGGTTTTGCATAAATTCTGGAATGACTGCACTTTTTAACCCTTCCAGGAGAAGGCTACAATGAGGTCCCTGAAATAAGCACTAAAATTTTCTGGAGATGAACTGTGTAGCTCAAGCATGCCGAAAAACAGGATCCGCATTTTAAAAAATAAAAATAAAATCAGTGCTCACACTATAGAGAAGCACGTTTATTAAAAAACAAAGAGCACATACATCCATCCTTCTACTCACAAGAGTTTAAATCAGTGACAATTCTTGCCTGCAAAAATTAGTCTAGCACATCAAAGGATGGCTGCTGTGTCACTTGAAATAATGTGAAGGCTTTAATTTTTCACACACCTCCTGTGAAGGAGAAACATGTCCAGTTCTGCAGTGTATGTGATGCATCACAGAGTCAGCATCCACATCTGTAAAACCTGAGTGTGGAGGAAAAAGTAGGAAGGACAGGGAAGAGAACAGTGTGTCACTGCCTCTGCCATTTTGGAGCACTTGTCCCTTTCCATCACAAATTAAAGTAGTTCCTGTGCAAAGGTTTAACTCACAGCGTACAATGAAATTAAATCATTTTCCCCCACTTAGTCACTGACTTCCCATGCCTTTTTAAACAAAGAGCCAGGAAGAGCATCAAGGAGCACAGCAGCAGCAGCAGCGTTGCTGCTGAAAGGTCTTAAAACAAACAAAAAATGACTTAAGTAATACAAAGAAGAAC